AGTGAAGGACAGGAAGGCCTGGCATGATATGGTTCATGGGGTCACGAAGAATCGGACATGACTTAACAACTGAACAACAACAACAAAACTCTAGGATTGTTTTCCCAAGTCCAAGAATGATCAAGCATTGGACTGAGAGGCAACCATAACCTGCACACAAGGCTATACCATTCTTGTAAAAGGAAACAATTGTATCAAGAGTTGAGTGTAACTTGAGAGGATGAAGCTAAGAAACTACCTGTAACCAAGTTTTTTTCTCTTTTTTTATGTGAGTTACAGTAACTGAATTAAGAAGCACATGCATGTAACCTGATTAAAACCTTCTGGCCAAGTGATGGGACCCAGCTGAATATTGAAGGCCTCGTCTGGAGGAGCAAAGGGATCTATCATTCCCACTTTCACCTTAAGAAATGACTGGTTTGGAAAAGTGATCCAGTTTGTAATATCAAATCCTCCAATAAATTCTCCATTTTTGTCAAAGGAGATCTTTTCACCCACACTATTGTTGAAGGAGACATGTCTCAGAAAAGAGTGCAGCTAAATTGAGGAAAGACAGAGAGAAAGAAATCATAAAGTGAGAGGGAAAACATTCTATTTCTGTTAGATTCAATTTGATATGGATTAACTTATAAAATTGTTCCATTCTAACTTATCAGTAGTTGGTTGATTAGAGGACCACAGAATAATTTACATTTAAGTTAGAAGGTGTTGTATTTATTCAGACACCAGAGGCTGACAGCATAATTTGTGCCTGAGTGGGAAATGAATCTCCTGATTGCTTTTTCAAGAGTCTTCCTTCATGGATGGGTTTTCAGTTCTTTTCCAGGAAGTTCTGGTCTTCCTACCTGGGGAATACTATCACTTGGTGGTCCTTCCTCCCCTTTGTCCATGTGCTTCAAAATATTGCTTGTGAGGAATATGTTGGAATGTGAGTAATGGATTGCAGAAATCGTTGGAAACCATCAGTGGAAGGATGTTAATGTTTGTGCTGCTCAGTCTAATGGAATGGGAGCACTGCAGTGTGATATTGAATGTTGTTTGTAAGGACACTCATTGAGCTGGGGACAGGATTGTATGTATGTCGTAGTTGGTGGAAGACTTTTTCTCTTGGCATGGTTCTTCAGTCCATGTCTAGGAGATGGGTGTGTGCTTTGTGAAAGCCAGCTTTGTTCATGGAGTGGTTGCTCCATCTCTTTCATGTAAGGGTGAAGACTGCATGTATCTCCGATGACTGTTAAAATGTCATCACTGTTCCCCAAAACAAAAGCTAGCAAGAATGAATCGAAAAGCTGCTGGGGAATTATTCTGTAAGATGTACCTGGAAATAATTTGGCAGATTAATGTTTGAAAGGTCTGGAAGAGGACAATGAATAACATATGGGAAATACTGTGTGTCTTTCTGCCAGGTCAGGCATATTCAGACCATCTTTCTGCTCTTCAGCAGATCAATGAGAAATGTCTGAATGGGAAGAAGAAAGATTATTGCATTTTTTTTTAATTTAGAGAAAAGATATCATGGTTAGTAGGCTTAAATTATGAAATCTGACCTACAAAGGTGAGGTTGGATTTTCATTTTGAAATGTGATAAAGGAAAGACATAATGGAGTAAGGTATATATGGGAATCAATGAAATCCTTAGTGTGTGTTTGTTTCTGTGTTTATTTAATCAAAAAAGACCTTTGGTGACTTACATAGACTAGGTCCAAATTAGAACATCTAAGCTAAAAACAAAGCCACTGAAACAGTGCAAAAGCAAAAAGTGTTCAAGATAAAAGTAAATAAAGGCAGAGATGGCAACATTCATATCACATCAAACAAGAGTTTCTGTAATACCAGCAAAGAGGGAGGTGGCCTGACCTCCATGGGGAGGCTGTTCCACAACATCAGCCCTGCTTTAGAAAAGCATCATTGCCTTGTTGTTGCCCCAAGAAACCTATTGAAAGGGTGGGATTGGCGACAGTATCTACCTCAGTTTGTCAAGCCAATACTCACAACAATCAACAGTTATTGGAAATGTGGAGTTACAGTTATTGCTGCCCAAAGGGGCACACCAGTTATTGAAAGCCAATGTTCACATACTTTTGCCAAACACAAATATAGAGCTTTGGATTTTACCCCCAATAAATCAATGAACAGCTATAATGTTTTTGACTCATTGGTTGAATTGGGTTCTCTTTATCTAGTTTTAGGTCTTGTGTGGAGAAGAGATCACATTTTAGGTCATATGCATGCAGAAATATTGAAAATCCAAAAGGGTCCACAAACTTTTAAACATCTCTGCAGGTCTTTACCACCCCCTTAAATTGGACCCAGAAACCAATATCTGGCCTAATATCCCCTTAAGCCTAGAGGAAAGTGGGCTGCTGCGATTTGGACGAACTGTTCTCAAGTACTCTTTAAGAGCAACCCCAAGTCAAGTGTCTTGTGATAATCTAACCAGATGGTGATAAGATCCACCCAGAGTTGTGTTTTAAGATGGGTGGTCACACCATTTTTTAAAATAATAATAAAGTTCCTGTAAGCAGGTCCTCCACTCCCAGGTAAGGCTGCAACTGGCACTTTAGTTGAAACTGGGCCCCAATAGCCATAGCGTCAACTTGCTGATCCCAAAAGAACTCCAGAAGGACCCCCAAATCATGAACCTTCTCCTTGATGGGAAGTGCCTGCCCATCAAGGAGTAACTACTTTGATGGCAACAGAGGACCCTGAACTGCAAACAGAAAGTGATGGAACTAATGGAAAAGTGTCTGTGCATGTTCTTCAGCAAGAACCAATTCTTTAACATTGACCGCTAAAAAGATTGCATGATGCAATAAGGAATATGAATGTCAACTTTAATAGAGCAAGGAACAACAATGAATACAGACTATGTATAAGAATGCATACTAAAGAGGATCCAAAAATGGGTATATTAAGAGAAACAAAAAGGTCAGTTGAATGCAAGGGGGAATGGGTGTTTAAAAAAAAAGATGCATAGTAGGGTTAAGAATGAATGAGTGTGTGTGTGTGTGTGTGTGTGTGCGCTAGATAAATGTGGATTAAATACAGACTAGTATTTGAACTAGTAGAAATGAAATGCTTCAAAATGGTTTATCATCTGTAAAAAATAAATGAGGACTGAATTAAAGAAGAGGAGGAGGAGGAGTAAATGGGTGGAGTGGAAGGGAAAATCTGAGAAAATCATAATTGGATGGACTTGATCAGGTTCACAAAAAAGGATCAGGAAGGCATTTCAAAGAGTAAAAGGCAGTATATGAAAAGATGGACGGATGTGGCGGAAGCAAGGATGTTTTCCAAAGATAACTCTTTGGAATAAGATAAGATTTATCCAAAGATAAATATTAAAAAAAAAAAATCGTTTGGTTTACTAATTCCTATTTGTTCTATGCATTTGCATAAGGGTATGTCCCAGAGGTAGAATAGCATGATGGATATGTGTCTCTATGTAATTGTATACTGTGTTACTACTGGGTGTCTCTTGCAGATGAAATACATCAAAATGGACCAGGAAGATGCTCCAATACCCATTTCCTAAAAGACAGTTTTTCAAGTTTTAAGTCAGAATTTGCAATATACTGTAGATATAGTATTTTCTTCCTGAAATTCTCTGTTCTAGATTTTACCTGCCATGATTGTAGATCCTGAAACTTCTGCTTCCCCAAAGCCATCCAATTTCTTCGCTTGGATGTAGAGGAATGCACTGCCTGCAAAGCATGCGCCACAGCATAGACAGCATTGTACACATTATAGCTGTGGCCACTCATGCTAATTTCAAAAGTAGAAGTAGGAAGAGTCTCCAGTTTCTCCTCTCCAGTACAGATGTTATCAGTTCTTTTATTCTTTATAGAGTTTGGAAATGAGCAATCAAACACTTGCTCCCAAAAATCTCTCATGAAGCCATCGTTTTGTTCTGTGGTTGGATTTCTGCTTTGAAGAAATTCCTGGAATCCAAATACCTCCTTTGAGTTAATGGAGAGAGATAAAGCACCATGGAGCAAACTTATATCCCACAATCTATGAAAAGATACTGATGCAAAATCCATTTGTGCTGGCATAATCCAAATTTTGGTACTCACTGGTATATCTTCCACTTCTGAAAAACGGAGAATCGTTGTAAAAATTGTCATAGTCTGAATCTCACCATACACAATTATCACATTGGCTGTGCTTTTCATGAAAACTTTGTATATTTCAAGTTCTTTATCTATAATATCCATAAAGTCACTGTAAAAAGCTATGCTTGGGAACCATTCCATAAAATCAAGGCAGATTCCGTGTTCAGAAAACTTGGGGAGAACATCCTGTAGAAACCTTTCTCCTGCTTCATCTTTCACAGAAAGAACTCCAATCCACTTCCACCTAAAATGCAGCAGTAACTGAAGGATTCCTTGGTGTTGCAGGGACTCGTTTGGG